CTCAGAGGTTCTAGGAGCCACTAATAAACTGGAAAATAAAAAGGAAGAGGTAGCTCCTCTCTTTACAATGCGAAGGATATGGATGAGTGCTGCTTGCCCAGATCCTGCTACAGAATATCATTTAACTTTTCTGCTCTCTGCAGCAGATTTCTGCTTTGTCCTGGCCCCTCATCCCAATTCGGCTATTCACTGTTGATGTACTACTGCCATTGCCCTGGGGAGAACAGGTGCTTCCCTTCTCAAATAAATTTTGGTCTCTTTAGAAGATGCTCTATAAGAAAGACTTCAGGATACTTGTGCATGCTGCCACCCATGATTGCAAGAAGTAGGGGCTGGGCATGGTGGTTCACACTGAGGTGGGAGGATTGCTTGACCCAGGAGTTCAAGACCAGCCTGGTCAACATGGCAAGATCCCCTCTCTACAAAATATATATATCTTTAAATTAGCCAAGTGCAGTGTGGTGATGCATGCCTGTAGTCCCAGCTTCTTGCAAGGCTAAGGTGGGAAGATCTCTTGAGCCGAGGAGGTGGAGACTGCAGTGAGCTCTGTTTATACCACTGCACTCCAGCCTGAGTGACAGAGTGAGACCCTGTGTCAAAAAAAATAAGATAAAAAGCTTCAATTAGAAAGACAAATGCCATGTATGTGTGTATGTGGAGACAGATTGAGGTGGAAAGTTTCCCTGAAGACCTAAAACTTCAGCAGAATAGGGTGAGTGGGTGTATGTTAGAAGGACAGGGAGAAGGACTTTACAGGCAGTGGAGTGTTCTCTGCAAAGGCACAGATGTGGGAGAGCATAGTGTGTTCTGGCAACTGCTCACGATTCAGTGTCAATGGTAGGCAGATGTCAGCTCACGAAGTGCCTTTTATGCCATCCAAAGTTTTAAGACATAAACTAAAGGAGTTGACTGAAGCATTCTAAGCATGGGAAAGCAGTAAATTTTTGTTGAATGCATGTGTGACAGTGGGAAGATGGGACATGGTAATTAGGAGTGCAGTCATGCATCAATTAATGACGGGGACAAATTTTGAGAAGTGCATTGTTATGTGATTTTATCATTGTGCAAACATCATTGAGTGTATTTACACAAACCTAGATGGTGTAGTCAAGTACACATCTAGGCTACATGATGTAGCCTATTGCTCCTAGATTACAAACTGGTACAACATGTTAATGTACTGAATACTGTAGGTGACTATAACACAATGGTAAGTATTTGTGTATCTAAACATGGAAAAGGTACAGTAAAAATATGATAAAATAATCTCCATTATATAATGCAGTCTGTTTTTGAGTGGAGTGTCATTATGAAGCATATAACTGTATTTCCTATACTTGTGGCCTTCTATAAGTTTTACTTGGCCTTCCTATGTCTGTTTCCTTTTTGTGCGTGTGTGAAATGGGAATTTAAAAATCAACTTGAAAGTGTTGGTGGGGCTCACTGGCTCACACCTGTAATCCCAGCCCTTTGGGAGGTTGAGATGAGAGGGTCACTTGAGGCCTGGAGCCCAGGAGCTGGAGACCAGCCTTGGCAATATGGGGAGACCCATCTCTACAAAAAAATTTTTTTTAATTAAAAAAATATTTAGCTCAGCATGGTGGTGCATGCCTTTAGTTCCAGCTACTTGGGAGGCTAAGGTGGGAGCATCATTTGGGTGGTAGGTTGCAGTGAGCTGTGATTACAGCACTGCATTCCAGACTGGGAGATAGAGCAAGATCCCTTCTCAAAAAAAAAAAAAAAAACAAAACTACAAAGTGTTATTGAAATTTAAATATTATAATAGACATACAGGAGTAATCCTGGCACTTAATAAAAGCTTAATATTTAAAAAAAGGTGACTTTTGTTTTACACAATACATATTACCCAAACAATCCAGTAATCTGTGATGTGCTTCTATGCCTGTTTCCTTTTCTGCAAAGTGGTTCTCCAATTTTACCTTTTCATAGTACCTTGTCCTTCTTCTTCCCAGCACTTACCCCATAATGTTAATTAAATGTTCTAATTCTTTTCTGGCCAAACTCCTAGAATATAACTGTTTTCCCTGCTAGACTCCTGGCTCTTTGAGACCAGTGACTTAAAAATTTACGACTTATCTGTACTTTCTTTCTTTCTTTCTTTTTTTTTTTAAAAAGAGATGGGGTTTCTCCATGTTGGCCAGACTGGTCTCGAACTCCTGACCTCAGGTGATCTGCCCACCTCGGCCTCCTGAAGTGCTGGGATTAGAGGTTAAGAGCCACTGCACCCGGCCTATCTGCACTTTCTAACACCATCTGTCTCTTAACAGATGCATGTTCAATAAATGTTGGTGAAAATGATCAAACTTACACTTACCTTGGGGAGAATTGAAAAAGGCCTGTTTCATTATGAGAGAAGAAAAATAGCTCAGAGGAGTCTAAGTTATTTTAAAGGTATGCAAAAACAATTTTTTTTTTTTAATTAAAGATATGGGGTCTCTCATCCAGGCTGGAGTGCAGTGGTGTGATCACAGCTCACTATGACATTGAACTCCCAGGCTCAAGCAAATCTTCTCACCTTGGCCTCCTTAGTAGCTAGAAATACAGTCGTGTCATTCTGGCCAACACGGTGAAACCCAGTCTCTACTAAAAATACAAAAAAATTAGCCTGGCGTGGTGGCACGCGCCTGTGGTCCCAGCTACTTGGGAGGCTGAGGCGGAAGAATCGCTTTAACCCAGAAGGCGGAGGTTGCAGCGAGCCAAGATTGCACCACTGCACCCTGGCCTGTTGACAGAGCAAGACTCCGTCTCAAAAAAAAAAAAAAAATACAGTCGTGTGCCACCACACCTGGCTGATTTTTACTATTGAAACATTTTTATTTTTATAAAAAGATTTATTTTTTAAATATATTTTTATTTATTGAATTTTTAAATTAAAAAATAGATCTTATTTTAAATATAGATGGGATCTCCTTATGTTGCCCAGGCAGGTCTCCAACTCCTGAGCTCAAGCTCAACTCGATCTGCCTGCCTCAGCCTCTCAAAGTGCTGGGTTTACAGCCGTAAGGCACTGTGTTTGGAATTTAAACATTTTTTTTCAGACAGGGTCTCATTCTGGATTGCAGTGGTACGATCTTGGCTCACTGCAGACTCGACCTCCCCAGCTCAAACGATTTTCCCACCTCAGCCAGGAACAGCTGGGACTCCAGGCGTGGGCCATCATGTCCAGTTAATCTTTTATTTTATTTTATTTTTTTAAATGAGATGGAGTTTCTCTCTTTTTGCCCAGGGTGGAGTGTAACAGCTCACTGCAACCTCCTACTCTCGGGTCGAAGCGATTCTCCTGCCTCAGCCTTCCGAGTAGCTGGGATTATAGTCGTGTGCCATCATGGCCGCCTGGGGGTATCCTATCTGGAATTATAGGCCTGACCTACTGCACCCAGCCACCCTGTTAATTTTTTTGATTTTTTGCACAGACAGCCTCTTGTTGTATTGCCCCAGCTGGTCTCAAATTCTTGGCTTTAAGCCATCCTCCCACTTTGGGCTCCCAAGCGGCTGGGATTACAGGTGAGAGCAACGCGCCAGCAGCCAGGCAGGCATTCAAAATTTATCAGGCTCACAGGGACCTGAGTATGGGACCTCAGTTAACACCATCCCATGTGGGGGTGAGGTGGGAGTGGGGTATGTGTCACGGAGTGGCAATTGTTTAAAGGATTTTTTTTCTTTTCTTCTCTGTACCTGCATCACCCTTTATCTTCGTGTTCCTAGAATTTGTGATAGAAAGAACAATGTGTAGCCAATGGATAGCTTATGTTTTTTTTAGTGTAAATTATTGGTATGCAATTTAGCAGAAGCCTCTTCTTTTTTTCCTGCAAAAATTCACCCGTGGGCGGGCGCGGTGGCTCATGCCTGTAATCCCAGCACTTTGAGAGGCCCAGGCAGGCTGATCAACTGAGGGCAGGAGTTCAAGACCGGTCTGACCAACATGGTGAAAACCCGTCTCAACTAAAAATACAAAAATTAGCTGGATGTGATGGCAGATGCCTGTAACCCCAGCTACTTGGGAGGCTGATGCAATAGAACGCCTTCAACCCGGGAGGCGGAGGTTGCAGTGAGCCGGGATGGCTCCATTGCACTTCAGCCTGGGCAACAAGAGTGAAATTCCTTCTCAAAAAAAAAAAAAAAAAGAAAAAAAAATCGTGGCTAACACAGTGCGTGAAACCCCGTTTCTACTAAAAGTACAAAAAAATTAGCCGGGAGTGGTGGCAGGTGCTTGTAGTCCCAGCTACTGGGGAGGCTGAGGGAGGAGAATTGCTTGAACCCGGGAGGCGGAGGTTGCAGTGAGCCGAGATCGTGCCAGTGCACTCCAGCCTGGCAACAGAGCGAGGCTCCGTCTCAAAACAACAATAACAAAAACAAATTCACTTGTAACCGCTACAAGTAAGTGTTGTGCCTCACGCCTGTAATCCAAGCCTGGGGCTCCACAAGACAAAGAACTCACTTGAAACTGCTGCTTACTGGATCATATATTAAGGGCAACTTGAATCGATGCTCCCAGGTTGTATTCATCAAACTTGGCCCTCATAAATTCTCTGCTTATGTTAACTTTGCCTCAGTTTTTCCTTTAGGTCGACCGTTATTTCTAAAGTTGTACAAATGGGTTTAGCTTTTATTAAAATAAGGTGTGAGAAGGGCAAATGAAGCCAGAGGCTCCCAGCACAATCTTGCAGCCTTCAGAGGCTTCTAAAGGATCAGCATTAACTCCAATATTTAGCAAGAGTGCAGCTCTTTAAGATTCACAAAGTATTAAATCTGTTGCTTGGAATTCCAGAAACAGGGGAGGAAGCGCCCAAATAAAGATAAAAAGATAAAAGCGATCAGCCTAAAATCGGGAGCGCAAGGGAGAAGCTTGAAGCTATGGGCTCTCAAGTAGGCGTTTCCCGCTCCAGAGCTGCCCAGGTCTGCCGACCAAGCAGTCCGCCGCGCCGGCCCTAGTCGCCCATGCCAGCAGCCCAGCTCCCCCGCCACGTGGCGCTGGGAAGGCGTCCTCCCAGCGCCAGGGAGAAAGAGGCGGAGCTCGGCCTCAATCCCGCAGGTGTCGTCATGGGAGTTGTAGTTTTCCTCGCGGGCGTACAGGGCACGAACTCTCCGGCTTTTGCCCGGTAAATAGCATCTCTTTCATATGAGTCATTCAAATGATAGACACAGCCTAGGTAGCTTCAAGAGAAGATGGTAAGAGGAAGGTGCAAAGCCAGGAAGGCAAACCTAAAGGTTGTGGGTGGGGCAGAGAAAGGGTTCACACTCAGTACGCATGCGCACACTAGACGAGGCAGGTAGGCGGGGACGGAAAGGCGGTGGAGAGAGCCGTGTTGTCCCCGGAAGTGCCTGCCCTCCTCCCGGGTCTGAGCGGACGCGGCCTCCTTACCTCATTTGTCCTCGCCCCTCCCCGTTCTCCTACGCGTTTGGGTTCCCGGTTGGCGCTTCCTGTTTGCAGCCGCTGCAGTGAGTATGTGAGTGACGGACCCCGAGCCGCCCGCGGCCCGGGACCCCTGCCTACCCTCCATTTCGCCCGCCAGGCTGTGGAACTAGCACATGTCCCTCGCCGGCCTCGGCATCTCCCGTCCGCCCCTCATTCGTGGCGGGGCGCAACTCTTGGCCCCTAAGCTGCGCGCCGCCCGACGCGGCCGGGCTGCCGGTGTGGGGTTCCGCGTCTCCCTGGCCCTCCGGGCTCTAAGGCTGTGGTTCAGGAGCTGCTGGGCGTCCAGGGTCTCGGTGGGGTGGCGTATCTGCCCTTTTTACATCCCCGCAAGCAAGGCCCCCCTGTCTTGGAGGGAAGCCAGTCAGGGAAGCGCGGAACTCCCGGCGCGCCGAGAGGGAGTCCAGTCTTTGAGGACCGACTAGTCTTGGGCCACCTCTCGCCTCTGCTGTCAGAAGCAGCAGCTGCAGCCGTGGAATCCAGTATTTCGGGAGCTGTGTCCCTTTCCTCATGCAAAACAAGGAGACTTGGACTGTGTTTACTAAGGCGCCCCTTATCCCTCCCATTCTGTGAGCGGACAGTTGCCTGCAACTTTTGGGAAGCGGCCGGTGCTGTGGAAAAGCTGTGGCTGGGAGTCAGGAGGCCTGGGTTCTAGCCGTGGCTCAGGCACTGACTCGCTGGCGACTCCAGAAAGCTCTAAGTGAGGCTGAATTTACGATTATTTGAGATTACATGGTTGAATTAGGGGCTCCATTAGGTCCTTTTTAGCTCGGTGAATAAGATTCTCTGAGCTCGTTTCTCCAAGTATAAAAGGAGAGCGTTCAATTTGATGATTTTTCAGGTCCCCTCAAAAGCTCTTGACTTTGTGGGGGCTTTTTTTCTTTATTTTAAAATTTTTTTCCTAGGACTGTTAGAGAAATGACTTTGTTTTGAATGCTTAGGCAATCACATACAAAGACTTTTAAATGGATTGTGTGTATATTTGGGAAAGTATTATGCTTTGGAGACAGTTTAGCATTACTACTTTTTTTTTTTTTTTTTAATTTTTTTATTTTGTAAAGACGGGGTCGGGCTGGTCTTGAACTCCTGACCTCAGGTGATTCGCCCGCCTTGGCCTCCAAAGTGTTTGGATTACAGGCGTGAGCCACCACGCCCAGCTAGCATTGCTTTCAAGAGCATCTGAGAATGAAGAATAAACTCAGGAAGGATCGCAACTGAGGATGATATTAATATGATAGTTACCGGGTGAGAAACTGAATGGCCAAAGGAAAAGGGCTGAGGGAAAGATGAAGGAAATGTTTCCAGATAGGATTAGTTCTCCTAAAAATCATGTCTATATCTGAAGAACAGCTGGGGCTAATGTGACTAAATTTAGCTTAATATTTTCCCAGCGAAATACTGTGCTCTGTCTTTTGTGACCTTTGTTTTACACATTTGGATTTTCCACCCCGGTCAGATTTGGTTCAGAGTGGCCATCACATTTGAAAAATGGCAGACATTTCAACTCCTTAGTCAATTGTGTTTCACCTGTCACTGTCAGGGCAGCTCACTAAGAGTAAGAAAGAAATTTTACGTCGAAAGTAGTGTGTATTCCTCACATTCCAATGCAATTTGGACTGAAAATGAGGCTGTGGATTTAAATTGGCGTGAGATGGATGTCTGTGTCACCAAGAAGGAACATCTAGGGAGTGACCAGTTGGTAGACTGAGAGCAGGAGCAGAAGGATTGATTAAAGATTATACTAAGTAAATTGTGAAAGCATAAATAAGCCTTAAGTTGTCTAGTTTAAAATAATTTAGTGAATGAATACTGCTCCCTCTTTTGAATGGGAAGAGCCTTTGCAGTTATTCTATAGCTGGTTTATATTTGTTAAGCTATTTTAACTTGTAGATAAGTTTCATTTCCATTTTCATGATATTTTAGGATCTTATATAGGAAACGTCTTTTCTGGTCATGGGATTGATAAAGTCTGAGTACTAACTTAGGAGATTCTTGGATGATAAACTGACAAATATGTGTTTTCCTTTCACCTAAAATGTCTTATTTATAGTTTTTAAACTCTGCTGGGAGGTGAAATGGATATTTGTGAGGTAAATTTAGGTATTAGAACCAATGCAAATATCGCAATGAAGGAAGGATTTTAAAAAAAATTTTTTTTTTTTTTTTTTTTTTTTTCCCCCGAGACGGAGTTTCACTCATGTTACCCAGGCTGGAGTGCAATGGCGCGATCTCGGCTCACCGCAACCTCCGCCTCCTGGGTTCAGGCAATTCTCCTGCCTCAGCCTCCTGAGTAGCTGGGATTACAGGCACGCACCACCATGCCCAGATAATTTTTTGTATTTTTAGTAGAGACGGGGTTTCACCGTGTTGACCAGAATGGTCTGGATCTCTTGACCTTGTGATCCACCCGCCTCTGCCTCCCAAAGTACTGGGATTACAGGCTTGAGCCACCGCGCCCGGCCTAAAAAAAATCTTAATTTGAAGTTACTTGAGAATTTTATTTGGGGCTGGGTACAGCCACTCAGTAATACCATCACTTTGGGATGCCAAGGCAGGTGGATCATGAGGCCAAGAGTTCCGAGACCTGCCTGGCCAACATGGTGAAACTCCAAGAATTCAAAAATTAGCTGGGTGTGGTGGGGCGTGCCTATAGCCCCAGCTACTTGGGAGGCTGGGGCAGGAGAATTGCTTGAATTTGGGAGGTGGAGCTTGCAGTGAGCGGAGATTGCGGAGCTGCACTCCAACCTGGGCAACAGAAAGAAAAAAAGAAAATTTAAAAATTTTAATGAACAGTTGGCTGAGAATCACAGAAATGTGATGCACTTCTTGCTGTGTCCTTAACCAGCTGCGTAACCTTAGATAGGCCTCCTGTCTCTTTGTACTTCAGTTTCCTGATGGGTAGATTGAGGAGTCTGTGTGAGATAATCTGATTTTGTTATCTAGTTAGTATACTTGGGAATGATGTACAGGGATCAGAAAACTGAGAAAGCCTCTGAGTTCAGAATGTGTGTGCATGTGTGTAAAAAACATATATATTGTCCTCTGAGAATACACTTTTTAAAAGTAAATTCGTTTGAATGTAATTAAAGCAGTAACATAAACCAAAACAGCCTCAGGCAGACCTTAACCCTGGCATACATAAGCTACCTAAATAAGAGAGCACGTTACGCCAAGCACAATTTTCAAGTACAGACGGTACAAAATCCTCTTAAAGGCCATAGGGGCTAAATTGTTAAATTCATTTTTCTACATTTCAGGGAAAGAGATAAATCCTTAGACCCAAGGAAGTCAGTTTTTATTATGGTTCTGTGGTTTATTTTTGGCATACATTCACAGGTGTGCCTGTGGCTCTATTCTTAATCCTTTTCCTTTGGGATGGCTCCAAGAGTAGTACAAATTTGTAACTCTGTAATTTAGCTCTTTAATTTTTTCTGTGCTGCACTGGAATTGTGTTTTATCTTAAGTCCACACTGGATCCTCAGGATGGATCCAGTGAGGACTTTGAAAGAAGCATAATTCCTTTGACTTCTTTTAGAATTAATTTCCCTATTAAATAAAAAGGAAAGGATTTGTCTTTTATTTGAATGCCTCTGAGGCTAACATTTCAATATAAACTGATAAATGCTGTTAGCATTATTCAGACAGCCACATTCAATTGTGACAGTAACAGCATAGGAAGGACAGTGCAACAAGGGCACAGGTAGGAACATGATACCTCCGAGAAGAAAAGCATTACAGGTTGGTTTATTTATTCTGCAAAACAAACAACTGCAGTAGGAATGTAGTACGTTTTTGGCTCTTGTCCATTTGTTTCTTGGAATTAAGCTGGTTCTGTTATCAGAACTACCATCACCATACCCTGACATTTTGGGCAGAAATTTTGGAGACTAAGAAAACGACTATTTTAATTTTATGTGTATAGCTAGAAGTTGAAAAAAGAATAAATTGGCATTGTTATTGCTCTTTGGGCTGTCCCTGATTTTGGACACATGCGTATTTTTCCAGAGCTCTCATTTTAGTCAGTAGTCCATCACTACCTAATGGAAACATTTCCTATGTAGAGTTTTGGTTGATGATATGAAAATTTCTGAGACTTTGGAGTAGTTAAAAGACAACAGAGAAATTCATCCCATCATAATTTCTGTATTTTAAGCACATACTAGATTTGTCAGGGCTGAAGAACAAATGCCTGGTGTTATAATTCATCTATGAATTCAACAAATACCTAGAGATGGCCCCCAAAATACCAGTTATTCCACTTGGCTTTGGTGATTCTTTGTTTAGCAGAGTGCATATAGTTCCTACCTTCTTGGGAATTGTGATCTGTGCTTCTGGGATAGTTACATTGAATAAGTAATTAGAAATGTGAGGAGTGTTTTGAAAGGTAAAGTGCTATGAAAGCCTATAAAAGGGGACCTTAATTTAGTCTGTTGGGGAATGATTTTGAGTTTAAAAAATGAAGGCTGAGAAGGATTTAATCTGCTCACAGTACGAAGTGTTTCACTTTATGTATTTATTCCCAAAGTTTAGGCTTTCTCTCAATTTTAGTTAGATCTTTATTAAGTTTGTATTTTGTACACATTTTTATAACTAGCACAGACGTAAACAGCTTTATCAGTTCATGTTTTTTTAATTTTGGAATTGGGGTCTTGCTCTATCACCCCAGCTGGAGTGCAGTGGTGATCATCGCTCACTGTCACTTTGAACACTTGGGGTCAAGCTATTCTCCCTCAGCCTCCCAAGGTGTGAGGTACACGAGATTACTCCATCCACCTCTGACATTGGCCCTGTGCTCTCATTCAGCCAATTTTGTTAGTACTGCCTCTTACCAAAGTATTTGTTTACCCACGAGTTAGATAACAAGCATGGGGAATGCCTGGTGCACAGAATGTATGGAATTAGTATTAGGATTTCAGTAATGCCACAGTCAAAAAGCCAGGAAAATATGAAGAGCTGTACGTATAGGGTAGATTAGGAGAGAATTTTGAGAGCTACATCATCAAGGATTAAAATTTTGCTGTTAGCTTTGTCTCTATGACATGTGGTCATCTAGTCTTAATGCTTATTCCTTCAAAAATGCATACTTTTCATTTTCCTCCCTTTAAACCAAATGCTGATTCTCTTGCACTAGTTTCTGAAATGGTCTTCTGTTATAGCCGCCCTATATGCTGTTTTTAAAACTGATACTGAAATGCTCTTTTACTCATCGTACCTTATTGCTCCAGAATTTTTTTTTTTTGAGACGGAGTTTCGCTCTTGTTACCCAGGCTGGAGTGCAATGGCGCGATCTCGGCTCACCGCAACCTCCACCTCCTGGGTTCAGGCAATTCTCCTGCCCCAGCCTCCTGAGTCGCTGGGATTACAGGCACGCGCCACCATGCCCAGCTAATTTTTTGTATTTTTAGTAGAGACGGGGTTTCACCATGTTGACCAGGATGGTCTCGATCTCTTGACCTCATGATCCACCCGCCTCGGCCTCCCACAGTGCTGGGATTACAGGCTTGAGCCACCGCGCCCGGCCCTTGCTCCAGAATTTTTAAGAGCATCCTGCTTCCCCAGGAAACAATGACATTGAATGTAGATCATGCTTGGAGCCCCTGGGATTGGCAAATGTTTTTATAAGAAGCCAGATAGAAAATATTTTGGGTTTCCAAGCCATGTGATATCTTAACTACTCAACTCGGCCCTTGTGGGAAAGCTACCTTAGATTAATACCTATAGAAATGGGGGTGGCTATTGTCAATAAAACCCTACTTACAAAAACAGGTGGCTGGCTCAGCCTGTAGTTTGCTAACCCTGAGAACTTGGCAGCAAAAAGAAGAGATAAAATAGTAGTTAGAACATAGAGCAGAATCAAATAAAGTTTTTTCCATATAGGTGACATCTGTTAATGTGTTTAGGCAGAAAGGAAGAAACTTGTGAAGAAGGTGAGACTAAACTTGTTTGATATTTTTGGTTGGGGGCCAGGTTAGAGATAGAATCAGGTGTTATGTGTTGATGATTTATTCCTAAAAAGAAAGAGAAACACCATTAATTGCTAAATCATCAAATACTTACAGAGGTAGAGGAGAAAGAATGAATTCAGATGCATTGAGGCAGTTGAGAGTACCTGTGAGGATGTGTTTGATTTCCTTGGGAAAATGAAAGCAGAAGTAGAGAGGGCAGAGGATAACTGGAAGCTTAGAATGTGGAAAGGATGTTTAAGTGCTGTGGGGAGTCCTTTCAGGCAGTGGTTACCAGTATTTTGAAGATGACAATTTGTTTAACTTCGAAACAATTTGTGGACCACCCCATGATTGTAGTTATGTTTTTAGTATACACCAATGGATAATATGCATATTAGAAAAAGCTACTACTCAGTTCTCTGTTAGATAACTTTGTATTTTATTAACCACAACATTGACTGCACATTTGAAAAATGTTAGTACATGTATGTGAGAGATAGTCTTTATGTAATGCATTGCCCTGGGTACCCACTGAGATAACTAATTTTGCAGCTTCCCAGGAGGCTGAAAGCTCATAAGTTAGAAATCATTGCACTCTAATGAATCCACAATAAGAGAATAAACAATTGCTTAGAAGTAGTATTCTGTCAAAATTAAAATGAACTTGTAATGAACTCACTTTGAAGGATTCCGTAACTTTTTATCCAGTAGTACGTGGCAGCTTTGAGCAAGATGACAGAAACAAAGTGATCTAGGGTTAGGCATAACATTATATAGAAGGCCAGAATAAACACTTAGCTTATTCTGTCTCTATATTACCTTTTCCTGAGATCACACCCAGTTTCATTAATTACTTCTGTATTTATGGTAATCAAATTGGTATCTCCTTTTCTTAACCATTTTGTTGATTTCATGTTCCCCATTTACACCTTACTGAATATTTCCATTTAGGTATCTTACTGTTTCACATTTAACATACTGAAAAGAAAGCTTATTATCTTTCCTTTGAAACGAACTCTCTGCTGATTTCTGCTTGGAGTAGAGAATCTACAGAGATGCTGAAGTTGATGGGAGAAAGTGGATAGATTGGGAAAAACATGAATTAGGTGTCGGATTCATTGAAGAACTGTGTCATGACTGGTAAATGATGGTGAGGAGAAAGTAGAGAGAAACTATTGTTTGTTCCTACCATTTGTTTTTTTATTTTAGCCAAATAAAATCAAATTCTGCATTTTTTAAAATTAACTTGACTCTTACACACTCTTAAAAATATTCAAATATTTATTCTCTATTTTATTTCCTTAATTCAATAATGTTATAATCCTATTTCTTTCCTATTCATAAGCAATATATTCAGTACTAATGCCCATTTACGTATGCGCCTACTCTCTAATAATTATTATTCCTTTCATAAATAGATCTGGGCATAGGAACCAATCAGAATACGATTGCTTCAGCAACCAAGACCATTGTTCACCAAGGAGGACCCCATGGATTCCTCTGAGCCTCCACCTGCATTACCATTCACTGGGCACCAGTCTTTGAGCCATGTGACAAATTTGGACAGTATCCATCTGATGCAGATGAACCACATCCAGGCATTGGGGAGGTGGAGGACATAGAACAGCTAAATCAATGTTTGATCCAACACTTCCATCTCATTAACGACAAGTTTGATTTTTCTTTGCTTTTTATTTCATGGAATACATGAGAATCTCTTAACTCTTGGAGTTTTCAAGGAGTCATACCTTGTGACTTTAGTTGGTAGAAAAGAACAAAACTAAAATGCTGTATGGCCAAAGCCACAAAGGTAAGGATCCGCAATTTACATCCTTGGAGCTACCATCTGTACTGTACTGTTGTGATCTACTGATTGGCATGGGCAGAGTAGTAGGGGTCAAGTGACAGAATCCGTACCAACAGTCTCCAGGTTCAGAATGATTCAATACCCTAATGATAGCTCTCCAGCCACCAGCACATGGTGATTGTACCAACTTGTTGCTCAGTTATAATGCAGGGCCAGTGATTGATTGGTTTAAGTCAAGACCATGGTTGAGATCATTTGTCTTTAGTCTAATAACAGTAGGATTTGAGTCTCCAGGGAAGGAGCTACTTGACCAAATTAAACTAGTGGCAGGTAGGGTGCAAATGACAACATATTATACCATCAAGATGTTCTTAGAGCAGTGTATGGATGGAGCTGTTATACTGCCATCAGTTGTGACTGATATTGTTGTATTGAAGGAGAAAGAGAAGCTTGTTTAGAAAGCACTTTGAAAGCTTTTTGAATATGGGGGTGCCCTGTGTCACTCTGTTATGGTTGAACTTTCTCCTTGGAAATTCCCAAACTTGGCAGCAGTCTTGAACTCTCGACTTCAAGTGATCTGCCCTCCTCGGCCTCTCAAAGTGCTGGGATTACAGGCATGAGCCATTGCGCCCAGCCAGGCTTAGGATTTAAAAAATATATTCGTTTTGAAAATGGAAGAATATGACATTTTTTAGTTGAAGATACCTTATTAGTTCCTAGTTTGTGAATTTTATGGTATGTTAATGTAGGGCTCCTTCAATATGTATAATTTGGAGCATAGCCCCTTTAGTTTGTCAGCATTTGGTACATAGGGGATACCTAACAAATTATAGGTAAATTTAACTAGAATTCTTCCTTTGTGTATAGAGTAGAGCTCTTTACATAGTTTTATTTTAAGTGAAATAATGGCTTGATTAAAGTAAATTGCTTTTGAAATTGAAATGAAATTATGGCTTCAACAACTTAGGGCAGTAAGTCTTCTGTTTTATATCAAATCCCTTTTCTCCAAAAACATGTACATAAAAGTTTTGGGTATAATTCCACAGGATAAAGAACTCATCTAGAGGCAGTTGCTGAATTCCTGACATTTATTAGGCACTCAACCAAGACTTGATAACTAATTAAAATTTGAGTAGAGTGGGTTACCTATTTGAATTTTAGGTTTTCAAATGATATTTTATTTGATCTGGGTTTTCACATATGCAATTTTTTTTCCATGTGTGGGTTAATTTCCAACTTGCCTGGCTGATACTTACTCATACCTCAAATATCAGTTTAAAAGGTCATTTCTGAATGAGGTGTAATGGTCATAGGTTCTCAGTTAGTGGTTTCTGTTGGGTCTGTTAGAACTCTACAGTTAATTAGCTTTGACTTTGGGTAACTTAATTATTGGTTAAAAAAAGATACATTTAAAAAATTAAAGTTATAGAGCTAAAGTGAGAGAATGGATAGACTTAAGGTAATAGGCAAATATTTTGATATAAGTCTTCACAAATACATGATAGGTTCATGATCATTGTGGCAAATATGGGCTTATTATCTTCCACTGTGGTTTTTTCTGTTTTTTGTTTGTTGTTTTTCTTTTGCGAGGAGGTCTCTTGCTCTGTTGCCAAGGCGGAGAGCAGTGGTGCGATGATGGCTCACTGCAGCTTTGACCTCCCTGGCTCGAGCAATCCTCCCAAATAGCTGGAAATATTGGCATGTGCCACCACACCCAGTTAATTTTTGTATTTTATGTAGAGATAAGATTTTGCCATTAGGCTATTGCTACAGCCACCACTGTGAAACCACAGGCTCATATGCTAAAACAGCCCTGGGAGATAAAAGTTGAGTCCAGCCTCTTCCCCCATTTTGCAGATGGAGACATTAAGGCCCAGAGAAGGAAATGGAATTGCCAAAGGTTCTACAGTGAGTTCATGGGAGGGGCAAGACTAATGAGAAAACAAGCATCTCTTGGGCGCTCACTGGGCATTCTGCTTTGCATACATGATCATATCCCATCCTCAACTCTGAGGCTCAGAGACACCGGGAGTTGTCCAGGATCACACAGTTAGGAGATGGCAGAGCTGGAATTTGAAAGCCTGTCTGATTTTCCACACAGATCATTTGACCACTAACACTCTAGGGCTGCCTAAAACCCAGGGCCCGTCTCCCCACTTCTCTCAGTCCACCCTATCCCTGTAGTCCTCCATTATGTTACATTGACTCCTAAAGAAAAAAGATCCAAATGGACACAGTTCTAGAGGAGTTTCAAAGCACTTCTGTGTCTTCCTGCACATCATCTCAGGAGATGCTGACCCCAGACGCAGGTTGTAGCCTGGGCAGAAATAGCAGGAACTCTTGGGTTTCCTTTAAGACTTCACCACCGCATGCAAGAGCGGAGCGAAGTCAGCAGGTTAAGAAACTCCTGTGGTAGGAACGGGGACCCATGACCTGCCAATAAGGAAGACCAGACATATAGAACTTGGCCAGGGAAACTTTAATCCAGAAGAAAAAAGTGTATCTTCTCTCTTCATATGTTTTAAATAGAATAATGAGGTAATCCTGAATTTTATTTATTTTTTATTTTGAGATGGACTCTAGCTCTGTCGCCTAGGCTGAAGCGCATTGTCGCAATCTCAGCTCACTGCAACCTCTGCCTCCTGAGCTCAAACAATTCTCCTGCCTCAGCCTCCCAAGTATCTGGGACTATAGGTACCCACCACGCCTGGCTAATTTTTGTGTTTTTAGTAGAGACGGGGTTTTGCCGTGTTGGTCAGGCTGAGATAATCCTGGATTTTAAAAATTCAGCTCTGGTATTTGTATTTTAATTTATTCTTGGAAGTGTAGGAGGGCCTAGAGGAAATGCAAAATGCGAGTCTTATTTTATGATTTGCTATGGTAAGCCACATTTAATCCCTTTCTTCAGTGAAAGGATTTGCGAAGGTACAACACAATGTACCTATCTGTTGCTTTCATTGTATTTTTTCCCCAGATTTTTATTTAGTTTATAATGTTACAACAAGTGAAATTAAAAGGAATGAAAATTATCCATAATCCTAGCATCCTAACAAATGAACTGTTCAGTGTTCCTCTTACTTGCGGGCAAAATTTACATAGGTGATTTATGAGTGTAGTTAAAGCTTCGTATTTATTCAGCTTTCTCACTTGACAGTTTATCATTATAATGCCACAGGTCTTCATAATTATCATTTAAAAATAAATGATTTAATAATTATTGTAATGGCTGCTTAATACTCTTTTAAGTGGATAT